GTAGCTGGGATTACAGGCATGTGCCACCACACCTGGCTAATTTTGTATTTTTAGTAGAGACAGGGTTTCTGCATGTTGGTCAGGCTGGTCTCGAACTCCTGACCTCAGGTGATCCACCCGCCTCGGCCTCCCAAAGTGCTGGGATTGCTGGTGTGAGCCACTGCGCCCAGCCTAATTTTTGTATTTTTAGTAGAGATGGGTTTCACCATCTTGGCCTGGCTGGTCTTGAATTCCTGACCTCATGATCCACCCACCTCAGCCTCCCAAAGTGCTGGGATTACAGGTGTGAGCCACTGCACCCAGCCCCTCATTCTTTCTAGGCCCCGCCATCAGTCCACTGCAGCCGAAGGTACTAACAACAGAATGATTACCCATGTCCATTCAACTTGATATTTGCCTTGTTTTCTTGGTTACCATTTTCTCTGCATGATTCTCCTCAACTTTAATGTGGGTTCCTTGAGCATGGGCACTGTGTCCTCCATCTGTGTTTCCTATAATACCAATCATACTGCCCTCCATGTTTTAGTCGTTCAATAAATGTTTAGGGCCGGGCATGGTGGCTTATGCCTATAATCCCAGCACTTTGGAGGGCTGAGGTGGGCAGATCTCTGGAGTCCACGGACTTCGAGACGAGCCTGGGCAACACAGTGATACCCCGTCTCTACAAAAAGTACAAAAATTAGCCAGGTGTGGTGGTGCACCCCTGTGGTCCCATCTACTCAGGAGGCTGAGGTGGGAGGATTGACTGAGCCTGGCTGCAGTTAGCCAAGATCACACCACTGCACTCCAGCCTGGGTGACAGAGTGCGACTCTGTCTCAAAGAAAGGAAAAAAATGTTTGGAAGCTGATATGTGACAATTCTAGTAACCATAAGTATAACACCCCAAACTGTTGACCCTTGACCTTGCCTTATTGCAGAATTTATTGTTCAAAATACTCTCAACTTGGCTGAGTGAGTTTTGTTTGTGATTTCTTACAGGGGCTACTGTTCCCGTAGACAAAGACGTCTTCGAAAAACACTCAACTTCAAGATGGGGAACAGACACAAATTCACAGGGAAGAAAGTGACTGAAGAGCTTCTGACTGATAATAGGTATTGACTGCTCCGTGCTAGTTGCAAGTTACATCTTGCTAATACATTTATTAAACAATGACATGTGCTAGACTTCATGCCAAACCTTTTAATTATCTCTGGTGACTCTTAGCAGCTCTGTGGGATGGGCATTGTTTACTATTTCTGCATTCTAAGGCAAGGAAACTGAGGCTCAAAGAGGTTCAGTAGTTTGTTCAAGAACTGTGTTGGGGCTGGGCACAGTGACTCACGCCTATAATCCCAGCACATTGGGAGGCCAAGGCGGGTAGATCACCTGAGTTCAAGACCAGCCTGGCCAACATGGCAAAACCCCATCTCTACTAAAAATATAAAAATTAACTGGGCATGGTGGCGGGCACCTGTAATCCCAGCTACTTGGGAGGCTGAGGCACAAGAATTACTTGAACCCGGGAGGCAGAGGTTGCAGTGAGCCAAGATTACACAATTGCACTTGAGTGAAACTCCATCTCAAAAAAAAAAGGAGGGGAGAGTGGGATTCACTCTCTCAGCTTTGGAGCCCCCCTCCCTCTGTCTCTGTACAGGGAAGCTTCTTCCTTCTCCCTTCCTTCTTGCCTATTAAACTGCTTTAAAAAAAAAAACAACTGTTGGGATGGCAAATGTTGACGTCAGTGATTAGAATCTAATTGATTATTAGGTAAGGTTTCTAGAATGTAAATTTCAGTGTCTGAAACTAGATGCATATATCAATATATCTTTTTTTTTTTTTTTTTTAGTCTCGCTCTGTCGCCCAGGCTGGAGTGCAGTGGCCGGATCTCAGCTCACTGCAAGCTCCGCCTCCCGGGTTTACGCCATTCTCCTGCCTCAGCCTCCCGAGTAGCTGGGACTACAGGCCCCGCCACTTTGCCTGGCTAGTTTTTTGTATTTTTTAGTAGAGACGGGGTTTCACCGTGTTAGCCAGGATGGTCTCGATCTCCTGACCTCGTGATCTGCCCGTCTCGGCCTCCCAAAGTGCTGGGATTACAGGCTTGAGCCACCACGCCCAGCCCAGTATATCTTAATGTAATTGAGTGGTGTGCAATTTTTGTTTGTTTGTTTGAGACAGAGTCTCACTGTGTTGCCCAGGCTGGAGTGCAGTGGCTTGATCTTGCCTCACTGCAACCTCCGCCTCCTGGGTTCAAACTTCTCCTGCCTCAGCCTCTCGAGTAGCTGGGATTACAGGCACATGCCACCATGCCCAGCTGAGTTTTGTATTTTTAGTAGAGACAGAGTTTCACCATGTTGGCCAGGCTGGTCTTGAACTCCTAACCTCAGGTGATCCACCCATCCCTGCCTCCCAAAGTGCTAGGATTACAGGCATGAGCTACTGCGCCTGGCTGGTGTCTAGAACTTCACAGTTTTCTAGAAGAGTCCTGTATTTCAGTGCTGAATACACTAGTGCTGGCATTTGCTGAAGAATTTTTAGTCTGTCAAGCAACATGTAGTGAAGGTCTCCAGGTCTGCCTCACACTTACGGGCCAAATTATGTTCCTGCCACCTTTTGTGTAAATGAAGATTTATTGGAACCCAGCCATGCCCATTCACATAGGTCTTGTTTATGGCTGCTTTTGTGCTACATCAGCAGAGTAGTTGTGACACACTAGATATAGAAAGAGAGGAGGCATGGCCCTTGAACCTTACTGACTTTCATCTTGTTGAAAGATGTTGGTCAGTGCAAACCAGGGAATGCTACAGTAAAAGTGCCATGTTGTGTATCATTTACTGTTCAGCATTCTGAAGCCTTGGAAGGGAGACTTGAACTTGAAGGCTCTTGACAGGGAAGTCAGTAAGCCTGCGTGGGGGAGGCTTGACCTTGAAGGATTTGCGAGAGTGAAGAACATTCTGTGTCGGGGAAAGCAGCATGACCTGATATCTGTGCATGCAGTCTAGGAACTGTAAAGTTCTGGACACTTGTTAGCTGCTACTCAGGCAGTGAAAAGGCTGTGAGCTTGGTGTGTACAGTCAGAAAACTAGAGCCTGGAGACCATAATAGGATGCAGCAGCAAGATGTAGTGATTAAATCTTAAATCTCATGAGAACCAGTTGGGAGAAATCTGGACTCGCTCCCTTTTTTTTTTTGAGACAGGGCCTCACTGTCACCCAGGCTGGAGTGCAGCAGTGGGATCATAGCTTACTGCAGCCTTGAACTCCTCCTGCCTCACCCTCCTGAGTAGCTGGGACCATAGGCATGTACCACCATGCCCAGCTAACTTTTCTCTTTTTTTCTTTTGTAGAGATGGGATCTCGCTATGACCAGGCTGGTTTCAAACTCCTGGCCTCAAGCGATCCTCCCACCTCGGCCTCCCAATGTACAGGGATTACAGACATGAGCCGCTACACCAAGCCTGGACTCTGTTATGATAGCAAGATCCTTTACTCTGAAGAGACAAGGTTAAGCTGAAGTTTAAGACAGTAAAGAAAGATTCACCGGTATAATAATAAAGTAATTAACGAACTTACTGAGCACTTAGTAAGTGCCCGGCTCTAGTCTAAATGTGTTATTTGTATTACTGCATGGGAGAGTGGTGCACAGAAAGGTTAGTACTTTGCCCACAGTCACACAGCTAGTAAATGGTGGCACTGAGATTCTGTCCCAGGCTCTGGAGCCCTTGTTCATCACCACTTTAGTATACTGTTTAATATACTATTTGTTTTTTTTTTTTTGAGATGGAGTCTTGCCTTGTTGCCCAGACGAGAGTATAGTGGTGTGATCTCAGCCCACTGCAACTTCCGCCTCCTGGGTTCAAGCGATTCTCCTGCCTCAGCCTCCCAAGTAGCTGGGATTACAGGCGCATACCAACACACCCAGCTAATTTTTGTGTTTTTAGTAGAGATGGGGTTTCACCATGTTGGCCAAGCTGATCTCGAACTCCCGACCTCAGGTGATACGCCTGGCTCAGCCTCCCAAAGTGCTTGGATTATAGGCGTGAGCCACTGCGCCTGGCCAATATACTGCCTCTTAAGGACTTTTCTAACTGGGTTGAGATGAAGGAGGTGTTGATTCAAAGATGAGGCCAGATTGTGTGCCTAGACTGTGTCTGTTTGACAAAATTCAGGAGGGATAGGTCACGATTCTGGATTTACCGAGTTTGAGGTGGTAGAGGTTTTTCAATGAGATACGTCTAGTAGATGATGAGAAACCTGAGATTGAGCCCAGGTTGCGAATAGAGATACTGGTTTAGTCATGGCTGAGGATATCAGAAGAGTTGTTTTGAGAGCGGCAAAGGAGGGAGAGTATAAAGAAAAGCCAAGAAGCAGAAGATTACACCTCAGAGAATACCTGGGTCTGATGATGGCCTTTACTGTCTCCCCGCTTCTGTCTCTGGTCTAGATACTTGCTTCTGGTTCTGATGGATGCTGAAAGAGCCTGGAGCTACGCTATGCAGCTGAAACAGGAAGCCAACACTGAACCCCGAAAACGGTTTCACTTATTATCTCGCCTACGCAAAGCCGTGAAGCATGCAGAGGAATTGGAACGTTTGTGTGAGAGCAATCGCGTGGACGCTAAGACCAAGTTAGAGGCTCAGGTTAGTGCCTTAACACTCAGCTTGTTTCATTGTGGAGATGAAAGACGCTTTAAAAAGCTACAGTTAAACACAACAGAGTTTCTTCAGGTTAGAAAGCGATAGTCAGGAGAGGAAAAAACTTTCTGAACTTGCTTTTAACAGGTGAAGTTAGCATGTTTTGTTTATCAGCTCTTGATTTTTTTATCCTTTTTTTTTTTTAAATTGGACAACGCTTCATTCCATAAAAGAGTGAGTATTGGTTTTTTGTAACTAGCTGTAACTTTTTTTTTTTTTTTTTTTAAAGACGTAGTCTCGCTCTCACCCAAGCTGGAGTGCAGTGGCGCCATCTCGACTCACTGCAAGCTCTGCCTCCCGGGTTCACGCCATTCTCCTGCCTCAGCCTCCCAAGTAGCTGGGACCACAGGCGCCCGCCACCATGCCCGGCTAATTTTTTGTATTTTTAATAGAGACGGGGTTTCACTGTGTTAGCCAGGATGGTCTCGATCTCCTGACCTCGTGATCCGCCCGCCTCGGCCTCCCAAAGTGCTGGGATTACAGGCATGAGCCACCACGCCTGGCTCTTTTTTTTTTTTTTTTTTTTTTGAGACAGAGTTTTGCTTTGTTTCCCAGGCTGCAGTGGCGCAATCTCGGCTCACGGCAACCTCTGCCTCCCAGGTTCAAGCAATTCTCCTTCATCAGCCTCCCAAGTAGCTGGGATTATAGGCACGCGCCACCACGCCTGGCTAATTTTTGTGTTTTTAGTAGAGATGGGGTTTCACCATGTTGGCCAGGCTGGTCTCAAGCTCCTGACCTCATGATCCACCCACCTACCTTGGCCTCCCAAAGTGCTGGGATTAGAGGTGTGAGCCACCACGCCTGGCCAGCTAACTAACTTTTTAAGAAAGGTCGTGTTGTATATAGATGAAAGCTTACAATCTTGTACCTGGAAAAGTTCACAAAGTTAAGAACTTTTTTTGGAAATGAATTTTTTTAAAAAGAGGTGGTAGATATTGCAAGGTTTTATTCAACTTCTGATGCTTATGTTTTAGCCCAGAAAATGGTTGTTAAGTAAAATGAAGGAAACAAGTTTCCTTCTTTGAAGTTCTTTCCTGGGAAGTGAATGAACCATAACAAATTGCCTATGTATCACCTTTTATTGGTTAAATACGTATTTCTCTTTAAAAATCAACCTGTGATTAATATATCCATATTCTTTGTTTGGGTTGTTTGTTTTTTAGAAACAGAGTCTCACTCTGTCCCAGGCTGGAGTGCACAGTTATGGCTCACTGCAGCCGTGAACTGTTGGGCTCATGTGATCCTCCTGCCACGGCCTCCTGAATAGTTGGGACTAGAGGCGCACACCACCACACCTGGCTCATTTTTTTTTTTTTTTTTTTTTTGAGACAAAGTCTAGCTCCATCGCCCAGGTTGGGATGCAGTGGTGCTGTCTCGCCCCATTGCAACTTCCGCATCCCAGGTTCAAGCAATTCTCCTGCCTCAGCCTCTCGAATAGCTGGGATTACAGGCGCCCGCTGCCATGCCCAGCTAATTTTTTTGTATTTTTAGTAGAGATGGGTTTTCACCATGTTGGCCAGGCTGGTCCCCAACTCCTGACCTCAGGTGATCCATTCACCTCAGCCTCCCAAAGTGTTGGGATATAGGCCTGAGCCACCACGCACGGCCACACCCTGGTAATTTTTTAAAATTTTTGGTAGAGACGAGGTGTTGCTATGTTGCCCAGGCTGATCTCGAACTCTTGAACTCAAGCAGCCCTCCTGCCTTGGCCTCCCAAATTGCTAGGATTACAGGTGTGAGCCCCCACGCCCAGCCCATATCCATGTTCTTTTTCTTCTTCTTTTTTAAAATTTATTTTTATTTTCAAATTTTTTTGTAGAGGCAGGGTCTTGCTATATTGCTCTGACTTGTCTTGAACAGTGGGTTCAAGTGATCTTCCCACCTCGGCCTCCAAAAATGCTGGGATTACAGGTGTGAGCCACTGCACCTGGCCCATATCTATATTCTTGATATCAAAGTTAGAAGCCAATAAAGGAAGATTGAGTGGGAGCACTGGTTTGCTGTTGAAGCAGTTCCTCCTCTTCCATCTCCTCACAGGCTTACACAGCTTACCTCTCAGGAATGCTGCGTTTTGAACATCAAGAATGGAAAGCTGCCATTGAGGCTTTTAACAAATGCAAGTAAGTCCTATAGTCCAAAGGCTGTGGCCAGTTTTAATTATAGGTAGTCAAATTTAAGCTGCAGATCAGGTAGTGGATTGTTTCTGTGAAAGTGAGGGTGACTTTTCTTTCCTATAGAAATGTTGATGACTCTCTTTCATCCTTAGAACATGCCAGTTAGGGTAGTTGGTAGGAGAGCTTCAAAGGGCCGTAATTTGATTTTAGTCACTGTGTTCCCCATGAGTTTTTCATATATATGGCTAATGTAAAACTTGGCTTTTCTTTTCTCGCAGAACTATCTATGAGAAGCTAGCCAGTGCTTTCACAGAGGAGCAGGCTGTGCTGTATAACCAACGTGTGGAAGAGATTTCACCCAACATCCGCTATTGTGCATATAATATTGGTGAGAGCAGGGATCAAGGCATTATACTCAACTTGAACATTGACAGGTGGCCTACTGGGAGCTCATTTCAGAGAGCCTAGAGAGTTGATGTAACTTTCTTCTTCCCTTGCCTCCATCTTTGCCCTGAGTTTTGGTTGATGGCAAAAGCAGACCTGTTGAAGCCAGCCCTGCCCAAAATTATGGAAGACGGTTCTGCCTCTGTGTCCGTCCTGCTATGCTGTGTACCCCTGAAGAGCAGTCTTGAGTCTCCGGCTGAGTTCATTTTTTACCTTTTTAGAGCAGTTTTAGGTTCACAGCAAAACTGACAGAAAGATACAGAGATCCATGTAACCCCACCTCCCCACATTCATAGCCTCTCCCATTAACATCTTCCCCCACCAGAGGGGTGCATTTGTTACAATTGATGACCCTTTATTGACACACCATAATCTCCCAAAGTCCATAGTTTACATCAGGGTTCATGCTTGATTTTGTACATTGTATGGGTTTGGACAAATGTTTCATGACGTGTATTTACCATCATATACCATATGGAGTATTTTCATTGCCCCAATCAATTTCATTCTTTATAAAAGACTTGTCTTCAGAGAACAGATTGTACTGCAGATTCATTGAAGTAGAATGTGGACGGGGAAGAGCTCTTTAAGTCTGAATTGAATCTAGTGATTCTCAAGAAAACAGGCCAGACCCTTGAAGATTTTCCTGTCTTTCTCTCTCAGGGGACCAGTCAGCCATCAATGAACTCATGCAGATGAGACTGAGATCTGGGGGCACTGAGGGTCTCTTGGCTGAAAAATTGGAGGTAATCTAGTATGCATATTTTTGTGAAAAGTCTTTGGACAAAGTCCAGAAGAAGGAGTAATTCATAATCCCCTAGGGATATTTGATGTTAATATATGGATATTTATATCTGTATTAGCAAATATCTACATTTGCTAAAAGTTTGAACAAAAAAACTTTTTTAAATTAATACTTCATTCAATTTTTTTTTTTGAGACCATCTTACTCTGTTGCTCAGGCTAGAGTGCAGTGGCGTGATCTCAGCTCACTGCAAGTGATCTGCCCACCTCGGCCTCCCAGAGTTCTGGGATTACAGGCATGAGTCACTGTGCCTGGCCAAGTATTCAACTATTTAACCTCATTACATTTATTTTCTAAGCAAGTAGTATAGAAAAAGCAAGAAATACAAAAGATTGGGGAAAAATATAAACCACATGGGTTGCCACTTTTATTTGTTTATTTATTTATTTATTTTGAGACGGAGTCTTGCTCTGTTGCCAGGCTAGAGTGCCATGGTGCGATCTCGGCTCACTGCAAGCTCCGCCTCCCGGGTTCAAGCAATTCCCCTGCCTCAGCCTCCCAAGTAGCTGGGATTACAGGCGTCCACCACCACGCCTGGCTAATTTTTTGTATTTTAGTAGAGACAGGGTTTCACCATGTTGGCCAGGATGGTCTCAATCTCCTAACCTCGTGATCTACCCGCCTCTGCCTCCCAAAGTGCTGGGATTACAGGTATGAGCCACTGTGCTCGGCTTATTTATTATTATTATTTTTGAAACAGGGTCTCACTCTGTTGCCCAGGCCAGAGAGCAGTGGCTTGATTTTGACTCACTGCTGCCTTGACTTCCTGGTCTCAAGTGATCCTCCTGCCTCAGCCTCCTGAGTAGCTGGAACTACAGGTGAAGATTACCATGCCCAGCTAACTTTTTTATTTTTATTTTTTTTTGGTAGAGACAGAGTCTTACTATGTTTCCCAGTCTGGTCTCATTCTTGAACTGTGGTGCTCAAGCGATCTGTTCGCCTTAGCCCCCCAAAGTGCTGGGATCACAGGCATGATCCACCTTACCCAGCCATACACCATCATCTTTTGATGGCTACATGGTACTCCGTTGCATAGAAGTCTGTTTTATTTAACCATTCATTGTTGTGCATTAAGTGGTAAATGATATTACCATGAATATCCACGTCCTCAGATTTTGCACACATTCTTGATTATTTTCTTAGGATAAATTCCTAAAACTGGAATTAAATGGTTTGGAAACTTTTGATAGGTACTGACAAATGTCTTTAAGTTTCTACTGATTTGCATTTCTGCTTGCAGTGTATACAGATATGCTTTTCTCCTCATATCCTTACCAAACCTCACTGTTACTCTTTTTAACCTTCCGTTATGTCCTTTTAGTATTTGAATTTCTATAACTAAAATATATGATACCAGGGAGAAATTTAAAACAAATAGATATTGGTGGCCAGTGGGGTGGTTCACACCTGTAATCCTGGCACTGTGGGAGCCTGAGGTGAAAGGATCACTTGAGCCCAGGAGTTCAAGACCAACCTGGGCAACATAGTGAGACCCCACCTCTACAAAAAAAATTTTTTCAGATGTCGGGCATGGTGGCTTACACCTGTAATCCCAGCACTTTGGGAGGCCAAGGCGAGCAGATAACCTGAGGTCAGGAGTTCGAGATCAACCTGACCAACATGGAGAAACCCCGTCTCTCTACTAAAAATACAGAATTAGCTGGGGGTGTTGGTACATGCCTGTAATCCCAGCTACTTGGGAGGCGGAGGTTGCAGTGAACCAAGATCATGCCATTGCATTCCAACCTGGGCAACAAGAGTAAAAAAAAGATTTTTTTTTTTTTTCCTTGAATTAACCAGGCATAGTGACATACAGCTGTAGTCCTAGCTACTCGGGAGGCTGAGGCATAGGGATCACTTGAGCCCAGGAGTTTGAGGTTGCAGTAAGCTGTCATGGGGCCACTGTACTCCAGCCTGGGCAACAAAGCAAGACCCTGTCTATTAAAAAAATATTGGACTGGGCGCAGTGGCTCACGCCTGTAATCCCAGCACTTTGGGAGGCTGAGGCGGGCAGATCACGAGGTCAGGAGATGGAGACCATCCTGGCTAACACAGTAAAACCCCGTCTGTAGTAAAAATACAAAAAAATTAGCCGGGCGTGGTGGCAGGCACCTGTAGTCCCAGCTACTCGGGAGGCTGAGGCAGGAGAATGGCATGAACCCGGGAGGCGGAGCTTGCAGTGAGCCGAGATTGTACCACTGCACTCCAGCCTGGGTGACAGAGTGAGACTCCGTCTCAAAAAAAAAAAAAAAAATAGGCTGGGCACAGTGGCTCATGCTTGTAATCCCAGCACTTTGGGAGGCTGAGGCAGGTGGATCACTTGAGGCCAGGAGTTTGAGACTGACCTGGCCAACGTGGCGAAATCCCGTCTCTACTAAAAATACAAAAATTACTTGGGCATGGTGGCATGTGCCTATAGTTCTAGCTTCTCAGGAGGCTAAGGCACGAGAATTCCTTGAACCTGGGAAGCGGAGGTTGCAGTGAGCCTATATTGCGCCACTGCACTCCAGCCTGGGTGACAGAGCAAGACTCTGTCTCAAAAAAATGAAAGAAATTGGTATATACTCTACTTTATATGGGGTATAATATGTTGGTTATACAAAGAGACAAATGATAGATTGCGCTTATTTTCACCTCCATCACTTATATCCCCGGTTAAAGCTTTAACTTTTTCAAACTGCTTTTCAGGCTTTGATCACTCAGACTCGAGCCAAACAGGCAGCTACCATGAGTGAAGTGGAGTGGAGAGGGAGAACGGTTCCAGTGAAGATTGACAAAGTGCGCATTTTCTTATTGGGACTGGCTGATAATGAAGCCGCTATTGTCCAGGTGAGGAGGAAGAACTCGCTGTGCTGTCTTCTGTATGTGTCTGAAGGTTGTCCTGTGTGTTTAAGATGTAGTGGCTCGTTGGTATTCAGTTCTAACAAAACAAACATTTAATGCCGTTTGGGATTTGGTAAGTCCGGAGATGTGCCTTATTTAATAAAATTATTTTGAAAACTGAGTTTATAGAGGAATTCTTAATGTCTAGAGGGCAAAGAAATTGACAGCAACAGTCATCAACATAAAAATGGGAAGCATTAGGCCGGGCGCGGTGGCTCAAGCCTGTAATCCCAGCACTTTGGGAGGCCGAGACGGGTGGATCACGAGGTCAGGAGATCGAGACCATCTTGGCTGACACGGTGAAACCCCGTCTCTACTACAAAATACAAAAAAAAAAACTAGCTGGGCGAGGTGGCGGGCGCCTGTAGTCCCAGCTACTCGGGAGGCTGAGACAGGAGAATGGCGTGAACCCGGGAGGCGGAGCTTGCAGTGAGCTGAGATCCGGCCACTGCACTCCCAGCCTGGGCGACAGAGCGAGACTCCGTCTAAAAAAAAAAAAAATGGGAAGCATTAGAGGCTGGCTTTAAAGTAAGGGGTCACATTTGGCCCAGCAGGTGGTGCAGCAGCTTAACTGTTATGTTCCTCAAGTCTCTCTGACATGTTGTCATAACCTCCTAGCCCTAAAGGGTTCACCTCTTAGTCCTGGGGCTTTGCAGGATAGCCTGGTTAAACCAGAATGTCTTGTTTTGTGTGTGGTGTACATGTAAAATTCGCGCAAAGCTGTATCACTTGATACTGCCTACTGACATAGTTACTTGTTTGTGGGTGTGAACAACCAAATGCATCCTAAAAGATAAGACATCCTGGTGACCTTTGTATGAGGTAGACAGCGATGGCGGCACTTTTTAGAGCTTCTTTTTTTTTATTTTTTTTTAATTTATTTATTTATTTATTTATTTATTTATTTTTTGAGACGGAGTCTCGCTCTGTCTTCCAGGCTGGAGTGCAGTGGCTGGATCTCAGCTCACTGCAAGCTCCGCCTCCCGGGTTCACGCCATTCTCCTGCCTCAGCCTCCCGAGTAGCTGGGACTACAGGCGCCTGCCACCTCGCCCGGCTAGTTTTTTGTATTTTTTAGTAGAGACGGGGTTTCACCATGTTAGCCAGGATGGTCTCGATCTTGTGACCCCGTGATCCACCCGTCTCGGCCTCCCAAAGTGCTGGGATTACAGGCTTGAGCCACCGCACCCGGCCTAGAGCTTCTTTTCCACATAAGTTAAAGGATATTTTTAAAAAAGCAGGCTGCTGACAGTCTATTCCCTCATCAGGGAACAGTGGCATTTCCTAAGACTTCATAGTAATCTTTTGCACCCTGAATAATGTGTATATGGGTTGGGGGGGGCGGTGTTTTGTTAATGTGTTGATGAACTGGCCTAAGCATCTAAACTTTTCAGCAACTTGCTCCAGAATGGCTACTTTGGGTTGGAGGCAGCTTTCAACAGCTGACGAGTTGATGTGTGTCCTTGTCTGTGTTTCATATTGCCTCTCTCATATCCCTTTTATTTGCTTAAAGGACAGAAGACCTGAATAGTACTATAAAGTCAATTTTTCCTTAAACTGAAAGGCTTTTCTTGAGACCATTCTATTGGCACTGTTGTATGGTGCTACCTCCTCTGGACAAGGGCTCTGGTAGCAACTATTTAGATTATGTGATTGGGTTAATGCTTTGCTTTTAAAGTGATCAATGCTGGAAGAAAGAAACCACTTCAGTCCTCAGTTCAGTGCCAGACAGCAGAGACAGTGGGGCAGGAATTCTGACTTGAAGAGGAGTTGGGGGAGAGAGATCCATAGGGGCAAGTTAAATGAGGGCTCTTTCAGAGCGGGGCTACAGACACGTACCAAATAAAGAACAGGAAAAGCTGGCATTTATTAAGTAATTTTGAGAAGTTACTGCTGGCATGGTGGCTCATGCCTGTAATCCTAGTGCTTTGAGAGGCAGAGGCGGGCAGATCACTTGAGCTCAGCAGTTGGAGACCAGCCTGGGCATCATGGTGAAACCCCATCTCTACAAAAAAAATACCAGAAAATTTAGCCGGGCCTGGTGGCATTCACCTGTAGTCCCAGCTACTCAGAGGCTGAGGCAAGAGGATCACTTGAGGCTGCAATGAGCTGAAATCACGCCACTATGCTGCAGCCTGGGTAATAGCGTGCAACTCTGTCTCCAAAAAAAAAAGGGAAAGAAAAAAAGAAAGTTAATAACGCTTAAAGTTTAAATACACTTTTTTTTTTTTTTTTTTTTTAAAGACAAGTCTTGCTCTGTCGCCCAGGCTGGAGTGCAGTGGTGCAATCTTGGCTTACTGTAAGCTCTGCCTCCCGGGTTCATGCCATTCTCCTGCCTCAGCCTCCCGAGTAGCTGGGACTACAGGCGCCCACCACCACACCCAGCTGATTTTTTGTGATCTGCCCGCCTCGGTGCCCCAAAGTGCTGGGATTACAGGTGTGAGTCACCACACCTGGCCTATTTGCCTGTTTTTAATTGGATTATTTATTTATTTATTTATTTATTTTTGAAGTTGAGTTTCTTGTCTATATTTTGGGTATAATTTCAGTGTCTCTTAAGCTAGCTGGTACTGATATTTTTACCTCCTTCTAGGAACTGGAATGCAAAAATTTGGTAGTCCCAGGTTATTGCTTTCCTGTAGAGGTTTTTATGATATTTAAATACCAAAACAGCAATTTACTGAAAAGTCTGGAAGGAAGAAATAATACAGGGAGATAAAATATTAGACTGAAAAGACTTGAGCTCAAAGTTAATCAGCTGCCAAAGTCCAGTTGCAAAATCCTTAGTCTCTGTAGCCAAGCTTTAAGTATTGACATCCTTAGTATTATCTTTTTTTTTTGAGACAGAGTTTTGCTCTTGTTGCCCAGGCTAGAGTGCAATGGCATGATTGATCTCAGCTCACCGCAACCTCTGCCTCCTGGGTTCAAGTGATTCTGCTGCCTCAGCCTCCCGAGTAGCTGGGATTAGATCATGCCCATTGCATTCCAGCCGGGTGACAGGGTGAGAACCTCTCTGCCAAAAAAGAAAAAAAAAAAAAAAAAAAACCAAAATAGCAATCCTCCAGCACGTTAGGAGGCCAAAGCGGGAGATACTTGAGACCAGGGTTTGAGACCAGGCTAGGCCACATAGTAGAAAGCCTGCTTCCACTACAAAAAATTTAAAAAATTAAAGGCCAGTGCAGGCAGAGGCTCCCATCCTAATGCCTAGCCATCTTTGG